TGGGTGTTTTCGCCCAGATTGGGCGAATCTGCCCACTTTGTACTTGGGAGATTCCGCCCGGTTTGGGCGATTCCGCCTGATCCGCTAAAATGTAAATCGTATATTAAAAGTTAACAGATGCTAATCGGGACCATGTAAATGTTCTAGGGATGATTTTTTACAAATATTCTTCCCGCTACTTAAATCATAGTAATATCCTGCATCAACGTCATTATCAGAAAATAGTACGCAGTTGGGTAAAATAGAAATTGGAGGACAGGCTTTGTTAGATGTATTTACCTGGATTTCTGGTGAAACCTTTTCAGGCAATACACTTACTTCAGTTTTTCTGAATCGTTCGAGATAAATGGTTCAATCATGCGTGCGTTCTTTTTTGGAAAACGATTTATAATATTTTGAATTTGTGCGACTGTTAGTCTAGAAATTGCATCAGCGCTACTAACCTTTTCTTTTGTCACTCGATTCAGAAAATCATCTAATTTCTTTTCTTCTGTCGATTTGTGATTCAAAATATTATATAATTTTGTTCCTGTTCTAAATTTATAGAATCAGTGCTATCATCCTCATCATTAATTGGTGATGGAATAGGCATTTGTGGAGAAGCTGAAGACTGCAAAGGGTCATTAGTAGTTTTAATTTTGTATTTTCGATCCTAAGATTAGCAATTTCTTCTATAATTCGTTTTAATCTAGTATTGTCAGTCTCGAGACTGATAATTCTCTGTCTCAACAAATCTAATTCGGATTCCATGTTCGATAATATTTTTTTATATATGAAATAGATTTATTCAAAATATTGTAAAAAAAATCACGTGCGCATGAGCAATTGTTCACGCCAATCACTTTGACAAGAAAAAAAATTGAATGTCTCAATACTTTGATACAATACGTCATTATACATAATATATTACTATGTCTCGCAATTCTAAGAATAATAGACGCAAAAATCAAGGTAGATTCACCGATATGCAAAAGGTTCAATTCAGATCATATATGAAAGTTCGAATGTGGCCAAAATTCAGAATTGGCCACGTCGTTAAGTTCGCATGTGGCCTGATGACAAAAATTGACCACATCATTATCCTGAAGATAGTTTACATGTGGCCAAAGTATTGAATCACGCCACACTCGAAGAAAGAGTGCCAACACACGCATACCAGGATCATAGTCATAGTTATACCTACCTAGTAGATACATACTCTAGTCATAGTAGATACATAATCTAGTCATAGTAGATACTTAACCAATGAATTCTATTCCGCATATGGTAATAGATTGATCCAAAGCAAGCTTTCATGGTTTTTCCAGATCTTCACTTATTAAATACTTTTTGACTTTTTGAGGTTTGATTCCTCCTAAGAGTAACTCAATGTAATTACCCGGCTTAGTTGTCATTACTGTAAAGTCTGGTTTAGATCCTAGCAAACATGGATCAAATTTTCTATTGATAGTAGCTGAAGATTTTGACATAAAGTTGGCCTTGCAATGAATAACCCAAAATCAAAAAAGACAAAATATTTATAAATATTATAATTATACAAAATCATAGAATATATACCACTCTATTTTAATTTTTCCATTTTCATGAAAAAATGGATCAATCACTGGAGAAATACACCTATGAACATGTGTATCCTCTATTTATTATTTCTTGTAAAGGTTGATTGTTGATTGTTAATTCTATACAATGTAGAATTTGTGTTTACTTATTGTATTCATATAGATATTTTTGAAACATACAAGTTATTATAAATTTCAACCATTATTTTTTCCATATTTTTTGACTTCAGACTGTTAAGAAAATCTTTTAACTTTGCTTTACGTTTGATCTCGTTTTTTATATTATACAACACAACCCATTTTCGTGAAACTGCAAATTCATTTTTATAGATAAAATTACCAAAAAGAACAATTTATTGAACTACTTCCAACTAGTTCATCCAAAGAAAAAACAATTAATATTAAAAATATTAATTAAACCCAAAACTTGATATTTACAAAATTGAAAATATGCTAATATATTTATATATATTACAAGAACAAATTTATGTTATTATATATAAATGATTGATTGATTGATTAATTTGAAATTGAATTCTAGGAAAAAAAAATATAAAACAAAAGAGAAATTGCAAATAATAATTGATTAGTTTGCAAAAGATCTTAAACATTGTATAAATGTTTCTTAATCTAAACATAATATATATATTATATATATATATATAAAATTCTAAATAATAAAATATATTCAAAGAGAAATAACTAATTAATAAACACAACCCAATTCCTTGGAAAAGTTGTCCAAAAAGATGACTTGATATTGTCCTTGCCATTTACTCAAGAACTTCTCATCCAAGAAGTTTTGACTAAGTAGATTTTTCCAACTGATGATCTCAACCTTCCAACCCAGTTCCAATGCTTTGGTGACACATCTGTGGAATCCACCTTGAAAATATTCTCCATCATTGCCGTCTCCACTTGCAAGTACTAAAGTTCCAGGTGTATGATAAAGCAACGAATCGAGTATTTTAAGTTGAAGAAGTTCATCAACGCATTGTTCCTTTTTACCACCTTTACCTTTATCGACACGTTTAAGTTCTGAAACATTATATCCAGAATTCTTTGCTTCGTCAAGATTTTGAATTAATGGCAAAGATGCTACCAATTCTCTACGAGCAACGTTCCTTCCACGTTCAATAATAGTGTTAAAAAGAGTTGGGTATGATAACACATGTTTTTTATTTGTAAAAGGCATTTTCATTTTGTTCTTTGAATTTTGTTGATTTTGTTGATCCCCATTTTCTTTTTCTTTGCCTTTTCCTTTTTTTTCTTTTCTTTTTTGTTGTTGTTCACAAACTTTCTGAAATCCAATATAAATATTTGAATGATCAACGAAAACATGGATTGGATTATCAGAAATTTCCGTGGGCATTGGAATTTTAGATCGAGATTTTTTTGTTTTTTTATCTATATTTTGATCCACATTAATCTTCAACGATGGTTCTTTAAGTATCTCATGATTTGATGAATCATCAACCAAAACTATTTTATTAAAATGGACTTTTTTCACTACGTCATTATTAACAATCTAAATATTATAAATGAAAGTATTTAGTATTAGTGTTAATATAATAATATAATGATGTTGATGTAACATAATAATGATAAATTACCTTTTGTTTTTGTGGCTGTTTTTGTGGTTGATTTTGTTGCAGCTTTTGTTTCTGTTCTTGTTGTTCTAAACGCTTCTGTTTTTGTCTCTGTCGTTTCATTGCTTTTTTAGCTTTTGTATTAGCCAAAAGATCTTTTAAATTGATATTAGAAGTGTTCTTTTTATTATTACCATCACTGCCGCTATTAATATTGTTTACAACTTTCTTTTTTAAAATTTTTGTAGATGATTGCTGACGTTGTTGTTTTACAGCAGGTATTAATTTATGTTCATCAAAGTTACTACTTTCTTCTTCAGAAGAGTAAGAGTTGTAGAGTAGTGAAGGTGGTTTCAATAGATCGTTGGTTGACTGTTGACTATGATTGTTACCGTCAGCGTCAACGATTTTCATAGAAGGAAACGAATTAGAAGTTGGGCTCCATTTTTCTTTTTCGGTGCTTAAATAACTCCATAAATTACCAAAATCACCTAAATCACCTAAAGTCAAGCCATTTTTCGCTTCTATTTTTTCTTTATCACTCTTTAAATAGTCCCATGAAGGTGTTAAATCATCTGGGTTATGGAAGGACTGATGAGATGTTGTGTCGTACGAAGAAGTTGTTGCATATAAGGTTCTTAAATTACTAGAATGCGACATATTTTATTATTATAGCTTATTATTTGTTAGTTATATAACGTGTATTGTTGTATTTTTTATCTTTATTTATCTTGTAATAATAATATAATTTTTTCAAAAAATTATATTTTTAAATATTTAATAATTGTTTAAAAAATAGAAGGGAGGATTTAATTATTATTTTTTTTTTCTGGGAAAAAGTTGTTCAACAACTTTCTATTTATGTGTTAAGAATAGCCGAAATTGTAATCCAAACTACAATCTAGAAAGTTCTAATCGTTATTGTCATACACATGTGCTAGCTATGTGGATTTTCTATATTTTTAATATCAACAAAAATATAATAAAACTCGATTTTATTATTTTTTTGTTAATATTAATATTTGTGTGGGAAATTCGATGAAGGAATGTTTGGAATTTTGAATTTTTTGAATTTGGTTTTTGATTTATAACTTGGTAAAAACCATTTTGGATTTATATCATTTTTGTATGATTTATTTAAAAATAATTTCTTTCTTCGATGACGATGTCTTTATTCTTGTAACGTTTCAACTTTTCATTTAAAATTAAAAACAGAATGTCACTCAAACTTTTGCCAATTCATCTCTTACATGGATGATAAGGATGAGATCACCAAAAAAATTATTTTTGGTTTTTCTTTGTTAATTCGGTTGGATAATGTGACTTCATAGTTAACATTAATATTAACACAATGTGTTTTTTCCCTTGTACTTTATAAAATTGGTTGCAGTGAGAAATCCGTTCCAGCTCAAACGTGAATGATATTGATAATATAAATATAATAATGAATAAGACGTAAAAACAAGATGTATATTATTCCAAGAAAAATTTTATAAAAAAAACAATAATATTAATTTATTTGTATTGTTTGTTTGTCCCCCAAAGAATCAAATCTTGCATACTATATGTATATAACAAGTAAATTACTTGATTGATCAACAAAAATAAAATTCGACGTATTTATATGCTGTATTCCTTTTTGGGAGGAATTAGCATTCCCGCAAAATATATTAATATAAAACGAAAGGGATGAATGAGGCACAGCTGTACAATTACATACTTCATGATGTAGCGCAGATATCTTATTTTAGAAGCTATAATAAATTTTCCCCCAATTTTTATTATACCCAAAACTACGGTAAGTATCTATTAAGTTCATGATATTGTGTATTTATCATAGTGATGTTATTAAATATAAATTAAAATAAAAGAGAAATTTGAAATTTGTATACAATAAATATAACTAATAAAACGTTCATTTTTGTAAAACTTGCTTTGCAAGCTTCATAATACAAACTATTGAATAATTGATAAAACGTTCGTTAGTATATTTTGTAAGCTTCATAGATTTTGTCCTTAATCCTTAATTTGATCAGCCTATACAAACTATTGAATAATTGATAAACAGACAGTTTGTACATTTTATTTATATATAAATAAATAATCATTAATGAACTTTAATCGATGTAGGCCAGAAATATAAAACAATCACTAATAAAATACCTTTTAATTTTTGCAAATCCCATCATAAAATTCTTCCCCTACCAAAAGTATCCAGATACTTTTGGCAGGTGTGTATATTAAATTTCTATATAATAGTTTTTCATGAACCTCTAAAACTTATTAACAAACACCCCCATAAAGTAACGACCATATGAAAGTTTAAAGTATTCTACACCTTCTCATTCACTATCAATTCTTTTAAAGCGATATCGAGAAATAATTTGAGCTTTGAAGTGGAAAAGTAATACCGTTTTTGAATAGCCGTGAATTCATCTTTCATTTTACTCTAACAACAAAATTCGAGTTCATGTGACACGAATTTCAAATTGAATGTCACACGACTATTAATATGGCGCCGAACAGGTCAAAAGGTTAAGTAAATGTCACAATTAATTGAAACAAATGCTATAATTAATTGAAACATTGTCACAATTAATCGAAGCAAATGTCACAATTAATGAAGCAAATGCTATAATTAAATAAAACAAATGTTATAATTATTTGAAAGCAAATGTTATATAATCAATTGAAACACTGCACAATTATTTTAAGGTAAATTATCACAATTCATG